GCAAAAAAGCTTTTCGACTGAGTCTCAGTAACTCTAGTGTGGCTTGTTATAAAAGTAACCCATCGAGGTTATGTGCTTACGGTGGGTCTATGGTAAAAGAAAACATCAAAACGATTGTCTCTCATACTGTAATATGATGCTATCTCAGTAAACAATGGCGCGGCGTTATAAAGATTTTTTAATGTGAAAACTCTTTTTAGAATATAATTAGAAAAGCTACAGTAAACATGTTGGATCACTGTATTATCATAGTATATGAGGTTTTGTTAGGTAATTGATCCTGCAAGGATCTATCAGGCGAAATGCCTGATAGATCCTTGCAGGATTACGGTAGTGGGTATGTCACTAGTTTGATATAGATAGAGCTGGTATTCACAAACACGATTTTCATTAAATTGCAGGATAACAGTAGGAGGCGGTTACTATCAAAAAATATTCAAATATTCATATTCCCAATATGAATTTGCTGTTAAGTCGAATTTTGTGAATTTTGTGTGTGATTTTGGTTCAGTAGCTAATTCAAGTAATTTTTTTCAGCATCATCAGGTCCATCACCGTTGACGTCTTCGTTAGGCCCGTCACCACTCGGAAACGTAGTCGATCACGATGCGTCCGATTCGGAATCAGAAGTGGATGAAGAGGACCGCACGTTGGTTGACATGGACATCCAGGAGGCCGCTATGCAACAGCAGGCCATCACACGGGATAACGAATTAGCGGCGTTTTGAAGCCCCTACCCCTCGTCTATATATGCACTTGTCGATTAGAGCATCAATTTTCTTCGTTGCAAGTCTCACTCGGGTCATCCTTATACCGTACTGCCCTCACCCAGCCCCGCGTCTTTTGAATTTTTATCGATTAGAAGCGGCCAGAACTAAGCTCAATCTGTCTACTACTTAAGCACATTCAAATTTTTCCTACATACATACACATGTGGTTGATCGGGTACTAGCTCTGTTGTTCTCTCTCTCCCTCACATTTATGTCTATCACACTGGGACAATGCCGCGCTCAAGTCGCGCACGGTTTCGGCGCGGCAAGCGCACGATGTCGTGCGCAGCGTCGTGTTTTTCGCCTCCCACACAGGGTCCCACAGCAAATACACAGCCCTTCTTTCACTCAGTCGCTTCGAAAGCATCTCATTTGTTTTATCAATTCTATTGTGAAGTTTTATTTGCTGTATATCCCTATACGGAGAATTAAATTTGCGTTTTAAGAATCATACATTTCGCTTTGATCATAATATATTTGGTGTTTCTTTCTATATGTGTTGATAGCGTTTTATAGAAAGATATCAGTTAGTGATTTCTGTCCTTAGCCTGCGCTAAACACACAGGTGCTCTCTATAAGATTTCGTATTAAATTCAACGACTCGCTCTTCATTTTTGTCAGAAACCGCC